AATTGAAGGGCAACAAAAATGATTAGGGGGCTGGAGCACATGACTTATGAAGAGAGGCTGAAGGAACTGGGATTGTTTAGTCTGCAGACGAGAAGAGTGAGGGGGGATTTGATAGCTGCTTTCAACTACCTGAAAGGGGGTTCCAAAGAGGATGGATCTAGGTTGTTCTCAGTGGTACCAGATGACAGAACAAGGAGCAATGGTCTCAAGTTGCAGTGGGGGAGGTTTAGGTTGGATATTAGGAAAAACTTTTTCACTAGGAGGGTGGTGAAGCACTGGAATGGGTTACCTAGGGAGGTGGTGGAATCTCCTTCCTTAGAGGTTTTTAAGGTCAGGCTTGACAAAGCCCTGGCTGGGATGATTTAGTTGGGGATTGGTCCTGCTTTGAGCAGGGGGTCGGACTAGATGACCTCCTGAGGTTCCTTCCAACCCTGATATTCTATGAATCTCTCATTCTATGTTGATGAGATCCTGCAGCCTGTATTGCTGTTTTCCTTCTGCTTCTGTCCTTAGTTTATGCCTGACTCCATGTCATGCTCCTGTACCAGATAAGGATTGGTTATACACACCAGATGTGTTCATCATCATCCTTTAATGCTCTGCCAGATATGGCTGAAGTTAGTTTAAATAAGGTCTTTTATACACAGCATCTCCTAGTGGCTGAGCTGTGTAATACAGTTTAGCATTCTGTTACAGCTTAATGGGTAGGGGTCACGGACCACATGGGAGTATGCCTTTGGCGTCTGGAAGTTCCTGACACGTCGCTTCCAGTCTCAGCCTGAGACGCGGAGGTTTAGGCCAAAGGGAAGCGTTCAGAATGTTCATATCTTGGGTTTCTCTGGCACAATCCGCTGCTGCTCGTTTAGAGCGGTGAGCCCATTTGGATCAGGGAGTTGGGAATCTGGATTTGTTTGCCAGCAGGGTACATGAGTGTTGAATGGGATACCAAATTTGGACTGGATTGAGCCGATTACCTGGAAGCTTTAAACTGTGACCACAATAACAACAAAATGTTGGATACAGAAGAGTCACTTCACCCAGTACCGAAATGCCACCACCTCTGGAGTGGAACGCAGCAGCTGTTTAGCTATGCACAGCAGTTTAGGGCAGGAAGTGATGAAGAATCCCATACCCAATTGCAAAAGACTGTTCACCGGCACACCTTTGGGATGATTTGCATAATTCACTTGTGGCTTCTCCACTCATGAGTAATCAGAGAAATGTCGGGCTGAAAGAGACCTCGAGAGGTCATCGAGTCCGGCTCCCTGCGCTGAGGCAGGACCAAGTAAACCTAGACCATCGCTGACAGATGTTTGTCCAGCCTGTTCTTAAAAACCTCCAATGACGGGGATTCCACAACCTCCCTTGGAAGCCTGTTCCAGAGCTTCACTCCCCTCAGAGTTAGAGCGTTTTCCCTAGTATCTAAATCTCCCTTGCTGCAGATTAAGCCCATTCCTTCTTGCCCTACCTTCAGTGGCCGTGGAGAACAACTGATCACCATCTTCTTTATAACAGCCCTTCACATATGTGCAGATGGCTATCAGGTCCCCCTCAGTCTTCTTTTCTCAAGACTAAACAGGCCCAGGTTTTTTTTAATCTCTCCTCCCAGGTCAGGTTTTCTAAACCTTTGCTCATTTTTGTTGCTCTCCTCTGGACTCTCTCCAATTTGTCCACTTCTTTCCTAAAGTGCAGCACCCAGAACGGGACCCAGTACTGCAGCTGAGGCCTCCCCGGTGCTGAGCAGAGCGGGACAATTACCTCCCGTGTCTTACATACACCACTTCTGTTCATACACCCCAGTATATTAGCCTTTTTTTTTTCAGCTGCGTCACATTGACTTATATTCAATTTCTGATCCACTATATTCCTGGATCCTCTTCAGCAGTTCTACCACCTAGCCAGTTATTCCCCATTTTGTGGTTGTGCATTTGATTATTTTTGCCTTCCTCGGTGAAGTACTTTGGCACGGATCTATACTGACTTTCATCTTGCTGAATTCAGACCAATTGTCCAGTTAATGTTCCCATCCCGCACTCAGACCAATGAAATATCTGTGCCACACAACGACATTATTATGTACCCTTTATATCGAGAGAGAGCAACTAGTGTAATTTGGGCATTTCTAAATGGTCAGATCCAAGGGTGCTGGAACGGGGTGGGAGGGGGTCAGGGGTCCATGGCCCCATCACTTTTTACCTGCCTTAAGGGCAAGCGATGGGGTGAGGGGGCAGAGAGGTGCAAGTGGGGGCGGAGCCTCAAGGGGAAGGGCTGAGCGAGGGCAGGTCCATGGTTCAGACGCCGGTGGCCCCACACACACACACACACACTTCTAGGGAGCTTCCGGTGCTCCTGGTCAGATCCCAACCCCGCTGAGCCTATCAGAAATTGGGGACTGTGTCCTTCTACATTTCCAGCAACGTGGGGTGTTTGCAATGGAATCGAATGCTGTATTGAAACTTCCCTGTTTCCCGGCATCGTTACATACCTGAAACTCAGCCCAGGTCTAGCAAAAGGTTCTCAAAGATTCTTAATTTGAGTGAATTTGAGCCCAGTTTCCAGCGGACCCTGGAGTCAGTTGATGGTCTCGCGTCAAAACCAGGTGGAGATGATGGTTTCAGTGCAAAACCAGGTGAAACATGGCTCTGTCCAGAGGCGACGTGTGGGGGGATACGTGGGGTCACGTACCCCGCCCCTGCCCAGATTTGCTGCTTGGCTTGTACTGAGCATGCTAGGTAACATGCTGAAGCAGCTGCCCTCACCCTGCACCCCCAACCCCCCACTGTCGTCAGGTATGGGTCATCTCTGGCTCTGTCAAATGCGTTCTCTTGGTTCTTGTGGGGTCAACTCAAAGTGACAAGGGAAAGGGTACAAACCCAGGAGCGCAAAACCACCACCGGCTTTGGCACAAGCCCCAGCCAACCCAGCACTGCCGAATCTTACGCATCTCTCCCGCGTGCTCTCGGATTCCCCACGTGACCTCAGGCAGCAATCCCTGTGCCGGTTCTCCTCTTCTGCTTCCTCACAACGGCGCTTCACAGTGAAACATGTCTTAAGCCCCACCCCAAGGGCCCCGCACAAAGGTGGCGACTTAGTCCAGGTGGAGCTTAACGAGGTGTCAAACAAATTGGGGTTGGAACCTTTGGGGCTACTTTAAAATGGTCGCGTAAGGCTGGGGCCACCTGTTTGGTCCTGGGAGCCCCTTCACCGCCTACCTCAGTGATACACCGGCTGAGGCTCACAAGCCACAAGTGGCTCTTTAATGTGCCTCCCGCGGCTCTTTGCAGCGCATGATATTAAAACACGGTGCGATTTAATTATTAACCAGTCTAGGTTATTAACTAATCAAGATGTTTTTACTATGTTATTGGCCAGTTGTAGTTGATAAAATAATAATACTTGGTCAGTCATTTTGCTGTGAGAATAATATAGATATAAAAACTAAATATTTCCCTGTCATGCTGTTTAAATATGACTATCTAGTACTATAGTAAATAAAACAATGAATTAATACAACTGCGGCTTTTTTGGGTAATGTTGATCGCTAATTTGGCTCCTGAACCACTGAGGTTTGAGTATCATTGGCCTATGACATTTACATTAGTGGAAATGTGGCAGTTTAACACAACGCCCTTGCATGGGTGATCTGCACTAAGGATTCAACCTAGGATCTCTGGATCAAAAATCACGAGTCTTTAATACCAGAGCTAAAGGAGCCAGCTGCATTAATGCAAAGCCATTGGCCAGTTCAATAACCTCTATGTGGCCCGGCCGCATGAGGGAGACATTGCGTGCGTGAGGATTGTGTAGCCAGGCAGATTAGAGCGGGCTGGGAACTGTTTTCCTTTGAAAAAAATAGATGAAAACTAAATACTCCCCAGTGCTTTCATCTAAGTGTTTCTACATTTTTTCCCAGGTTTTCATTGAAAACTTGGAAACTGAACAAAAATTAGTTTTGGAAAATTGAACATTTTTTTTTTGCATATTTTTCAGGGGTTTCTCGTGACAGAAAAACCAAAATAAGTAGGCCAGTTGGGCAAAATTGTCCGGTCTTACTGAAAACTTTTGGAATCTGAAATTGTTTTTGGCTGAAAAATGACTTTTAAAAAAAGAAATCCCTTTTTCAGCAAAACCCCCCAACGCCGTCAGCATTTCCATTTTGACAAAGCTGTCTACATGGAAAAAAAGAAGGTTTCAAATGAAAAAAAACTAACCAGCTGTGATTTAAAAGAAAAAAAACCAATCTCCCTTTCCTTCTTTCCGGGGCCCACTAATTGCATCCTCAGAATCGAATGCAGATGAGAGTCACAGAGCGAATCCAGCCGGCTACAGCCTCTTTTCTGTCATCCAGATCCAATTAATTTCTAACCCCAGATAATGGGATTCGGGGGGTGTTTATTTCGACTTATCTTAGTGCTACAGGAGGTTTTGCTTAAGACTGTTTCCCCTTTGGCCTGATTTCTCTGCTGTGTTCCTCAATCTTTCCCTGTCCAAATAGGTTGCAGTTGCCCCAGGCTTCCCCCCTCCCGAAAGAGAAGGAAGGTCATATCCAATGGGAGTGGGAGAGGAAAGGAGCCAGAGAGAGGGAGAGGGGGGATCAGAGAAGGGAAAAGACCTGCAAGGGGTAAAATCCCGACCCCATTAAAGTGGTTGGAAGTTCTGCCTTTGACTTCAGTGAAGCCGACATTCCACTCTTGATTGATGACATAGAGCCAGACGGATGCACCGCGGAGGTCACGGCCATTGAGTTGAGTGGGAGAAGGATCCAGTTGATAGGAGCAGGCTCTGGTCCCCCAGTGGAGGCTGTGCCAGACAATGTACTTGGTACTACGGGCGCTGTAAGCTGCAGGGGGCTGGAAGGACGGGGGCATGCTGGTCTGGGGTGGGTAAGAAAAGGGGGGAGGTTGGGAGGGATGCTTGGAGGAGCTCCTGGCACTCTCTGTAGGGAGGGATGGCCCCGAAGGAGACGCTCACCATCTGCTCTGCGTCTCTCCTCCCTACAGCCGCCGCCGAGCAGGGGCTGATCCGGCTGGTGAACGGCTCCGTCCCCCACGAGGGGCGGGTGGAGGTGTTCCACGACCGGCACTGGGGGACGGTGTGCGACGACAGCTGGGACAAAAAGGACGGGGACGTGGCCTGCAGGATGCTGGGTTTCCGAGGCGCCGAGGAGGTGTACAGGATGGCCAAGTTCGGGCAAGGTAAGACGGCGAACTGACCACCGCCCAGCATGGGGGCTTCCTCCCCTCAGCTAGAGGCCGGGGGCAGCTACCGGGCTCTGCCAGCGTGCCTCACCCTGACCGGCAGCCGCCACTGCTAAGGGGAGTTTGATCTCCATGGCCCATTCAGCCCTTGGTTTCTCTATTGAGGCTGCCAATGACAGCGGGGGTTATGAGCTGTCCAGGACTGTGCTCCTTCGCTCACCACGCAGAGGCCACGAAACAGCCCAATGTTCAGTCACTCCAGATTCCCAGTGGCAGCCTAACCCCCCATCTCCTGAGCCATTCGGTCCCAAGGCTACTTTGCTTTGCTGTGCCCGAGCTGGGAGGCCATGTGCCATCCAAGATCTCCCAGTCACAGGAGGAAATGCACGGAGAAGCGTCGGAGAAAATAAACCAAACCTGTCTCCAAATAAACCCTGCCGAGCATTGGCGGCTCCCGTGCCAGAGGGACAGAGGATGCTCTGGTGGTCTGAACTGTTGTCGTTTTGGGTTGGCTCCCGCTCCTTCCTCACCCCAGGCCTTGGGTGTCTGCAAATATTTTGACGTTTGCCTGAAGGATTGTGTGAAAACAGATCCCTGGCTCTTCTCCAGCCCAGCCCTTGCTTTTCTCTCACGCATACACCCTAACCCTGCCTGTCCAAAAACTCTGCCCTGGAAAAAGTGCTCTGGGGATTGGGCGTCTGAGACATTCCCAGCTCTGAAAGCCGATACTGGCTGCTGCTGCTTCTTCTTGCTTCCCAGCCTTTGTCACCGAAACCTCCAGCTCAGCTCTATAAAACAACATAGATCGTTAGCAGGAACGAGCCACATGTACCCTCCTGCTTAGCGGGTTTTCGCACCCAATAAATCAATCGGTTTTGGAGAGGAAATATTAGTGAGCCTGGCACCAGCTCTCAGTGGCCTGCCCTGGCTGGACTGGTGTGTAATTGACCAGGTTTCTTGCGGGAGCTCTTGATTTGAGAGCAGCCCCCTACGGGACTGATGTGTCGATGTTCAGATGGTCTCCGTTGTGCTGCTGTGGCTCCAGGGACGCTTGCACTGGGATTTTCAGTGGATCCCAGAGGAGGTGGGTGCCTGCCTCCAATTGAATATCCGTCAGTGCACGTGGGCTACCAAACTCCCACGGATGCCTCTGAAAATCACCACCTTCTGCCGTAGAGTGGTCAGGCCTAACCACCTAGAGCCTACTGCTCATAGGATTCGTATGTTCTCAGAGCCTTTACCATACACGGAGACCCAGCCACAAACCCTGCCCATTTATCTGGAGCAGAAGCAGAATATAGTCAGAAGGAAATCCTGAAATACTCATTTCTGGATCCCTAAACCACTGCTCCAGAGATGAGCAAAACCAGAGGGCAGTTTAAGTTTGCAACGCTTTGCCAGTGAATCACAAAACTCAGGCCTGGGGTGGTTTTGACCCACATCCCATTTTATCCAACTCTCCCACAGCTCAGCGCAGGGGCCTTTCAGCCCCGTCCACCCCTGTGAGCCAGGGCAGTGCTATTATCCACGTTGGATGGGTGGAGAAACTGAGGCACACCAGGAATTGAACCTAGGTTCCCAGCTGGTGCCCTAACCAGTGGGCCACGCTTCCTCTCCCACAAGCAGCGCTAATGCTTATGCTGCTAGGCATACAAGCCCCGTACTCCCACATCGACTCCAAACATGACACCTTCTGCACCACTACACAAACTCCCCCAACACACACACAGCCCATATACACAGTTACCCTCGGACCCACCAACACAACCCCATCTACACACAACCCCTGCCACATACGTACACAGACTCTGCTCCTAATACCACAGACCTGGAAAGGACTGAGGCAGGACCGAGTGAACCCAGACCACCCCCGACATGCCTCTTCTTAAAAACCGCCCAGTGATGGGGATTCCACAACCTGCCTATACACACATACTCAAGCACCATCAGTTCCCATAAACACAACCCTGTATAGACACAGCTGCCCCTTATGCTCAGCCCCATAACGCCAGCACACACAAACACACACACACACACAGGTGTGCAGCTCCAGATCGTCTTGCTTCCTGGCTGGCGCCCCGTCTCTCGACCAGTCGAGCGTGCGTCTGGCTTGGCACAGACAAAGGCCGTGAAATGGTTTCCACCAGGAACCACAAACAGCTGGGGCTCGCCCGCTGGCGAACGCAAAGCCCTGGTTTGGAGGGAGCCAGCCACGCGGCTGTCTCCTGGGTCGGTGTTTTGGCCAGAGTGAGATCCGAGAGCCGGTTAGCTGTGAAGCCCCCCAGCAGACGTGGGAAGTTAGATTGCAGGGAGGGCTTGGCCTGCGGTGCTTTCAGCAGACACTGAAACAAATGAGGTGAAACGGAGGGGAAAGTACACAGAGAGGCAGCGTGGCCCAATGGGTAGAACACTGGGCTGGCCCTCCCAAGACACGGCCTCCTTTCCTGCCTCTGCCACTGACCTGTTGTGTGACCTTGGGCGAATCACTTTCTACCGTGCCTATTTAGATTGTAAACCATGTAGGGCAAGGACTGCCCTCACTTGGGGCGCACGGGGGGGTGGGAAGGGTTGCAGCAGCTAGCACAAGGGGCCTTAATCTTAGCTGGAGCCTGTAGGTGCTACTGCTGTAGTAATACTGAGAGCTCTGGGTTTGTTTTCCACAGCCTGAGGTCTGGCCCACAGGCTGGATCCAAAGCTCGTTGAAGTCAGTGGAAGTCTTTCCACCGACTTTAGAAGTTGAGGGTTTGACCCATGAAGGGTATGTCCGGCCCCCGGTCATCGCTTCCAACCGACCCAGGCCTAAATGCAGGCACAGTCTGTGCCAAAGGCCCAAAATAAAGGACACTAAAAAATTATCCACTTAGGAAACTGAAAAGTGCCTCTGGATTCCTTCCGTCAGTAACTCTCTCCAGCCTCAGGCCCGTGTCTCTTTATTTGTGAGGGCGCGGCAAATGGAGGGAGAACACAGAAAGTATCCCATGCACTAAGCCAGGAGAAGATGGCAGGATTTCGCCAACCCCTGGAACACCCTGGGGAGGGAGGTAAATAATATTATCCCCATTTTACGGGGAAGAAAGGTATTGACATCTGACTCCCATTGAAATCAAAGCACCTGGGACCTATGCAAGGCAACAGAACAAGTCATGGGATGAGAGCACAGGAGCTCTTCCCCCCCCCCCCCCAAGGTCCACACACACCCATTGGACCCCCATTCCTCTTGCTTTTGCCGTCCTTTCCCCCCCCCCCCCACACACACACACACCTGCAGCTTCCCCCTAGCAAAGCGCCCAAGCCTATCGCCATTTATCAAATCGAGCTGCGGGGAGCTAATCCCGAACATCTGGCAAAACTCACGGTGATTTATTGTGGCACGTAGGGAATTTTTCCTCTTGACGCGATCGTAAAGCCCTGAAACCCATGCGGCGCGGAAGGCCAGCTCACTCGCTAGCCATCTGTTGTTTTAGCCCAGCGGTGATTTCGTGGCCAAAACTAACTCATCTCTCCCATTAACGCCGTCCATTTCCTTTCGTAGAAGGGGTTTTATCAGCTGCCCTTCCCTCTTGGGGGGGAGAATAAAACAATGGCAAAGAAAGCAGAGGAAGTTTCCTCCGATCCAGTTTAATAAAAGAACAGTCGCATCCTGGCCCCTAATTCTAGGAAATACCCCACTGAGGCCGTCCAAACATTTCATGACTTAGCGTGTTCAGCTTGAGCAGCCTGCGTTGTGAGAGACCGTACTTGCCACTTAAAGAGGCAGCGTCCCTCTGCCGAGGTGGCTGAATTTACCTTCCTTGATGTGTGTTTCTCCTCTGTTAAGTGACTATATGGATATGGCATCGGAGGGGCCCGTCTTTCTGGCGTCTCCATGTTCCCCAGATCAAAGCTGCTCCATTTCCAAGTACAGACCTGTTCACCGCCAGCCCTGCAAACGCAGCCTGGGATCTGTGAGTCAAGCTGGGGTCTTTCCAGCTGGAAAGAGTCCGCAATTAGGACTCAGTTAACAAGTCGCTTGATGACGCGCGAGCCAGGAAAGAATGCGGCTTGCTCTTCTGCAGGGCTAGTGGGCATAAAACAGAGTAAAAGCTTAGCACTGAGGGCCTGATTCTGCTACCCTTACTAACATAAGAACATAAGAACGGCCGTACCGGGTCAGACCAAAGGTCCATCTAGCCCAGTATCCTGTCTACCGACAGTGGCCAATGCCAGGTGCCCCAGAGGGAGTGGACCAACAGGCAATGATCAAGTGATCTCTCTCCTGCCATCCATCTCCATCCTCTGACAAACAGAGGCTAGGGACACCATTCCTTACCCGTCCTGGCTAATACCCATTAATGGACTTAACCACCATGAATTTATCCAGTTCCCTTTTAAACGCTGTTATAGTCCTAGCCTTCACAACCTCCTCAGGTAAGGAGTTCCACAAGTTGACTGTGCGCTGCGTGAAGAAGAACTTCCTTGTATTTGTTTTAAACCTGCTGCCTATTAATTTCATTTGGTGACCCCTAGTTCTTGTATTATGGGAATAAGTAAATAACTTTTCCTTATCCACTTTCTCCACATCACTCATGATTTTATATACCTCTATCATATTCCCCCTTAGTCTCCTCTTTTCCAAGCTGAAGAGTCCTAGCCTCTTTAATCTCTCCTCATATGGGACCCGTTCCAAACCCTTAATCATTTTAGTTGCCCTTTTCTGAACCTTTTCTAGTGCCAGTATATCTTTTTTTAGATGAGGAGACCACATCTGTACGCAGTATTCGAGATGTGGGCGTACCATCAATTTATATAAGGGCAATAAGATATTCTCAGTCTTATTCTCTATCCCCTTTTTAATGATCCCGAACATCCTGTTTGCTTTTTTGACCGCCTCTGCACACTGCGCGGACATCTTCAGAGAACTATCCACGATGACTCCAAGATCTTTTTCCTGACTTGTTGTAGCTAAATTAGCCCCCATCATATTGTATGTATAGTTGGGGTTATTTTTTCCAATGTGC